AGCCACACGCACACACACACATCTTGCAAGCCGGAGCTACAGGCTGGCGGGTTAGTACACGGCTCTACGAGGTGGTGTCACGCGTCTCGTGCGGCCAAAAATAAACACGCTGACTGGTGGCAGGCGTGCCTGGACAAGACTGCTTCTCTGGTTCTTGTTGTTGTTGATTATTTGCGAAAAACCTGCGATATTCATAAACAAAAAGTGATTCCCAGTGCGCAAACACAGCGATGTCCAGAATTCGTCTCTTTTTGTCGCATGAATCCGCCGAACTAATCACAGCGTGACCCTCCACACCGGACGCCCATTCTGTCCGAAAATGAGTGGACAAGGACTGCCGATTGGAAAAAAAGAAAACGGATCGACACGATGCGATACCTGATGCCCAGCCTCTCCAGGAGAGATAGTTCGCCAATCGATTCGGGCAGGGAGGTCAACTCGTTGTGCTGCAGGCTGATACCGGAGAGGTTCTTGCACTGACCGATCTCTGCAAGAGAAACCAAGACCCACGTTAATGAGCACTCGTGATTTGGGGTGAGTGGCATCGGCCACACGACGGCTCACCCTCGTGGAGGTGCTCGAGGTGGTTGTGGGAGACGTCGAGGGTGGTGAGCTGGACCAGCTCGCAGACGCCCGGAATGGAGGGCAGGTTGCGGATCTTGTTCTCCCGCAAACTCAGCACCTGGAGGTTCTGTGGGGTGCGGAAAAAAAAGAACAATTAACGCAGTTCGCACGACAGCTACAAAAAAAGCCATGAAGAGACGAGGTGTCGGGCTCACCTTGAGGCGGCCGATGGCCCTGTCGACGACGCGAATTCGATTGAACCGCAGCAGGAGGTGGGTGAGGCTGGAGAGGCGGTAGATGACCTGAGGAATTTCGCAGAGCTTGTTGTGCCGCACGTCCAGTATCCGCAGACGCGTGCACTCTGCTAGGGTGTCTGGAAGACAGGTGAGGGAGTTCTCCTGAACCAGCAGACTCTCCAACTGCGTCAGGGTGCCGATCTCATCTGGAAACCGAATAGAGGTCAAAGTTGTGTTAGACACACGTACACACACACATCGGACAGTGGGCGCGCGCGCGCTTACTCGGGAGGCTAACGAGTTTGTTGGAGTAGAGGAAGAGCTCCCGCAGATGGCCACTGAGATCGCGGATGCTGGTCGGGAGGGAGTGGAGTTGGCTCCTGGAGAGATTCAGATGTGCGTTGCCCTCGTCACGACACCTGCTTATCTCCTTTGCCGAGTCCTGCACAATGAAAAAGGCAGCCGCCTATAAAACCACCTCAAGCGCACTGAACCAATCAGATATTAGGGCATCAATTCAAGCGTGATTGGCTGGGTAGGCCGTTCCAAATGTGCGAGAAGCCGAGGAGCATTGAGGAAGTGGACTGACCGGAAACTGCGTGTGTTCGCCGCGGCGAAAATCGACCTGCTTAAAGCGACGGAGATGTGGGCATCCAAAACGCACACACACGCACACATCTATGCGTGCGTGCGTGCGTGTGTGGATATACATTTGGGCATAAAAATAGCGCTGAAAGGAGGAGCGCACGAACGCGCGCACTCGCACGCATCGAGGACAGCGTGATGCGTTCTCGCGCACGTGTCCAACTCCCTCGGCTGTTTGCCTGGGCTTGTGCGCATGACACTTGCGAAGGATCGTTCGCAGAACGCGGCCGGGCCAAAGCTCAAGGGGCTGGGAGAAGGCACAACGACAACGTCGAGCCCCGCCGACTACTTGTCCGAAGAGTGCACACTTCGGTTCAGATGGTGCGTGTGTGTGGGGGAGGGGGTAGGCAGACCAAAAGTGGCGGAAATCGGGAGACAACAAAGTCCAGACCCCCCCCCTACCACCCGTTGAGCTACCAGCTGACCCACTTGGGGGAGTACGCGCGCACACGCACGCGTGACCAAAGGAGGGGGGGCATTTAATTGCTCCACAAGTGTGGCAAAACGCGGCGTTTTCAGTCAGATGTTGGCTGATAAGGCGCGTAGCGGTGGTGGTGGTGTGGATCCAGGCACCCCACAACCCTGGACAGGCGCGGTGTCGGACACCCGGCCGGGCCTCCGGCTGACAAAACTCGACAACTTCGTGTTTCCAGCACCGTCCACAACTATGCAGTCGTGGTGAAATGCACGGGCACAGCGAAGTCAACAAAAGTACCCCTGTGATGCCACCACGGACAGACCACAAGGGCAGGCGTTTTCGGCTTCAATCACACCTACGCTGCACACACACACACACAAATCACTTGTGTTTACGGTTGTAGCGACACACACACCGCGCATGTCGCCGATTCTCCAGGGGCAAGGCGTCTTGGAAAGTGGAGTGATGGCTGCGCGAATCGATAACGGGGGCCAGTGGGGTTGGCGGAGGGTTGTTGATGTTGTCCGTAATCCACCACCAAACTAGATTAATCAAGGCCACACAAGCCACACGGCCAGCTTTGCGACCTTTTGGGACAATGGGTTTATTCAACCACCTGACAAGGTCGGCGTTGGGGCTGAAGTCTGCCAATTAAAAGTATCACTACGGCGGAAGTTTTACCGATTAGTGTGAGGTCGGCTAAAGCAAACGAACGGTTTCCGAGGAAACAGGGAGAGAGAGCGCGCGCGTTTAAGGTTAGTGTGCGCGTTTGACCTCACGAAACCTCGTGAATTTAAGGCAAGACTGACCTAACAGGTAAAGGCAAGCCTGCTTTTCGAAGGTAGTGTTCTCAGTTTAGAAAAAAAATTCCGAATCAATTGTACTAGTTGCTAAACAGGTTGCAAAGAGCCAATCATGACTGTGCACTAGACAAAAATCGACACACAGGTGGGATATCCTAGTTCACGACGCAGAAAAAACTGGAAATCACCACTTCAAGACACCAAAGAGTAAAAAAACAGAAAGCACGCAAAGCAGCCACAAATGGCCTTAATGCGATCCACTTACTGAGTCAGTCTTTTTGTTCTTTTTTAAGTTTGGACCGCATTGGTAGGCCTTTTGCTCGCCAGGGCGCTGGACGGTTACCTTGCTTTTCTTGGGGTCAAAGGGAGTTGATCCAACTAAAGAACTTTTCTACAATAGAAAGTTTCGCATCAAAATTGCATCGAAATAAACCCGAAACCTGAAAGATCATGGCTCTGGAGCGACAGGATTCTGGCAGTCACCACTTCGACCAGTCAGAGGTGCATTACTCAACAGAAAGTCAGAGAATGAACTAGCACATTGCCGTGGTGCATTAGCGGTAAACATACACCACGGCGAGGTGCATACTGCGTTACCTGGGAATTCTACACCACACTCGTTCATTACTCGCAAGACTAAACAAAGTGAGGAGTTGGCGACAGCTAAGGCACACGCTGCTTAATAAAAACCAGAAAAACGGGTTTGATTATAACTGGCGATTTTCAGGTACTTGTACTTAACAAACCTTTTGAGAGTTAAGTGAGGTCGTTTCAAGTGTATTGACCATATCGAAATAGTCAAGATCGTGTCCGATATTGTGAGCATAATTGGCAGAGTCTGAAGAACTGTTTGAACCGTTGACTGTTCCAGATGCCATCACAATAGGTGGTACAGATTAGTTAGTCCTGAAGTAAACGAAAATCGTATGTCCAAATGTGCAATAAAATTCGCCTCAGATAATGCACTTAGAATAAGGTGAAGAAAGTGCCGCAGGATGACAATAGACACAGCAAATGTATCGATAACTTGAACCATTCCAAAATTTGTGAGGCGCTAAACAGTTTATTTAACAGGATAGCTTCCTACGACTAAATTTATTAATCGTATACATCAGTCATTGCTCACGAGCTAAACAGTGGCTGTGAAGAATGGGGTAGATTCAACAGAATTTTTTAGATAAAGATTTAAACCAAACTAAAAAATCTCTTAAATATGAAATTCCGCCTTTTTTGTGGCATCATTATGCATAACCTGTCCAATAAACCGGTAGTTTCTACGTAATTGACCATGTTTAGTGAAATGAGAGAATTGGAGTAATTTTAAGCAAAATGCGGGTTGCTTCTCAGCATAAGAATCAAGTAAAAACACACTGAACTCGGTAAAATAGTGTAAACATATTTAAAAACAGTGATTTGTTAGGAAAGTAGCATGACACAATGTGTGGAAGCAAAAAAAGGAAAGGCAAAACTGCGGTCGTATGTTAAACGCATTTGAGAAATGCAACAGGAATTAAGCAAGGTAAAGGCAAATAACAGTTTATTGAAATAGCTGTTATCAATCTGGCTTAAGTACGTAACCAGGAATGTAGACTTGCAAAACCATCTCCGAAGCCAGACAAAGGAAAGGAAGTCTATGCGCAAGGAGCACGTATATTAGGATTCCCGAATGACTTTAACAATTTAATAATGTAAAATGACAAGCATAAAATCTATCTAAATATTTTATCGAGGCATTTCGTAATTCTAAACAAGTGCAGCAAGACAGACCCCACATTTCAACGCGCTTGACTTGATGTACACAAAAAATAATCCTTTCATACATGCAAATTCTGAAATTACTAAATTAGTATGCTTGTGCGAAAATAAATGAACATGTTAAATAGAATAAACGGAGCCATATCAGAACCAGTAGCATCAATCTGCACGTCATTTACTCAGCGACGCTCGAAGCAGATGTGGCGGCTTAAGGTTATGTGTTTTTTAATACAATAAAATAGAATTTTTTAACATGATAAATTTATATCTAAATTTAATACTTATTGTAAAAAAATTGTTTTTTGTTGCAGTGAATGCGAATACTTTTTAGTCTCCTAGATCCTAAGAAGAATGACTAATAGAGGCATTGCCTGGCACGTATATAATTTATGAATAAGAGATTGGAATCATTTCAAAAGCCTAATTGTATACATGTAAGGACCTTAATAAAATGCACATTCTCAAAAAAATATATTTTAACAAAAGATATTATGAGATAGTAGAATGGTATCAGGTCGCATCATTTAGTATCAATATCAGTTACATATTTTAATAGTTATTCACTATTTTTTTAATTAAATATTTACATAGGATCAAGGCAAAAAATTCAGACTGATTACAAAGGTTAACTGACACGTAAAAAAACGAAATAAATATCAGTCTAGTTTGGCTGAAAGTATTTTTATTCCCTTATAATACCACTTAATATTGAATACAATTTACGATCTGCTTAAATTTCATTATTAAATATTGTTAACTACCATTCCGTATAAAGTTTTCCCTTTGAGTTGCAATGTATTTCATCAGTTCTTTATTCAGCATTCAATGATTATACTTTATCATCAAAACACAACTAAATGAACGTTGTGACAATTCTATGTAAGCATAGGCACTTAAATAGCAGAGTTGATTGTTTCAATTCTTGACATTGGCTTTTTATAGCAATGGAAGCCAGCTATATTTGTTCTCCGTCCTTTCCAGTGCTCCTACACTCCTTTCATTAATTCTTTTCTCGCAACTCTGATTATCGGTTCCAGGGAAGGATGTGTCCCGAGCCTTTCTTGGAACACACAAGTTTTTCCACTAAGTCACTTTATAGTCTGTTAGTTTCACCCATCCCAACTCTATATAGCGTAGTTGGTAGTTTAGAAAATAACATGTTGCTGGTGCTCCCATCTACATTCTATTCAAAGGACACGTAACCCTGATTTTGTGAATATCTCTCATGAACAACGTGATAGTTATTACCTTCTTCAGATACCTTTTTGTTTGCATGTTGCGAATTTTAGAACATCATATTTTCGTGTGTGCCAGCTGCTAGATTAGGCATCGTGAGGATACCCTTCACAGATATGTCCACACTGTAATTAACTTTTCCGGTTTAAAATTTTGATTGTCAAAAAGAAGACTGTTGAGTATTTATTTGTTATTACCAATTTCTTGTTTTACTTCAAACATACTCATAAATAAAGATTGTACAACATTACTTGATAAGAATTTGTAGAGGGTGTAGGTTAATCTAGCCCAGTCGCTGCATCGGGTAACTACTTCTAGGATTAATTCGACTTATCAATGGATTAATCCAAGCAAGTCGCGACTGAATGAAACATTTTGGGCGAATTAAGCGGTACCACAGAAATGAAATCAAGAGAATGGGATGAGAAGTTAGATTTTTTAGTCAGTTTCGATCGAATATATTCAAATTGGTGTGTTTGCTCTCCTCAGTTGATGTGGCTCCTAATATTTCCACATTACTACAGCTATGGGAAGGTTCTATAAGGCTCTTTTAATAGAATCGCCTACAACACACTTAACCATCGCTTTTATTTTTTTAAACAAAATTCCAACAATGCATTCTGGTACAGAACATGTGAAAGCTCAGGTCCTGTGCAAATCAAATAACCAATTGACCGTTTATTGTTTACAAATTGTAATTTAAGCTGAGTGCAATATTATGCATTTGTAACAATACCGGTCCCAAATTTAATTAACCCGTATTTTTAATCTATAGAATTTCGCCCAATCAGCAGTTAGATTAAGGTATTTAAACTTACAGTGAAGGGCCATTGGGGGAATGGATTCGCCTCAAATATAATTTCTAACATAGTAGTCGGTGTCTCTGTTTCGTGATGTACGTATTCTAAAACTCCACGCGACTTCGAAAATGTCCCTTACAAGTTCAAGATTCAAACTTAACAAAGGTCATATCAATAAATTTCAGTTGTCCAAGACCTACATTTCAGGAAATGGATCCGATTTCTGTGCTAATTTACATCTCCACTTAAATTCATATTTGCCGCCCCTGGAGTGTGTTATTTATCTGCGTTGTGGTCAAGGCTACCCCTGGATTTCAAAAAAAGATTGACTTGTCGTGAAAACTGGAGCCTTTGTCTCCTCTGCCACCTCAAAAAAAATCGGAGAATAGTGTAGGCGGTACGACGTGACGCACACCGTTTTTACCAAACAGGCATTGTGTGTGGTTGTACTCGTGTGCGTGAGCGTGCTGGTAGGCAACTTTGGATAAGCGACCAATGAGAGTAATGTGGGGAGCGGCACATGTGGTAAATCTGTTCGGACAAGCTTTCAGACGGGCGTGCCCGCTAACAGGTCACCACCACAAATCGATAATCCCAATGTCTGAGCAGAGGTCATTACGGCGGCCAGACACCCATAGCTTTTCCGGAGCGGCAATCGATCAACTATGCGAACGAATCAGGTAATGCTAGCCAGCCGCTCTTGTCTTCGAAATTTGTTTTTAACGAAAGCAAATTCCGCTAATTCCATTCGTTCTCAAGTCGTGAATGTGTCTGGTTGGGAACCAGTCGCAACAACTGACGATGCAGCAATTCGTTGCCGGCACACGCAACGCTCCCAACTCCCAGACAGGAAATAAATTCATGCCCCATTCATGTTGTCGTCGTAAAGTGATTTTGACTAGTACTAGACAAGAATTTATACGCGCTGGTTGATGGAAGTCAGTCATCTGACACATTGATTAATCAATAAGTTAAGTAAGCGAGTTGGCTGCGCTGTTTCGCTAGCCAGAAATCTTTGCGTGCCACCTGTCATGCTGACTTCCGGTGGCGTTGGTTGGCGGAAGTCAGTCATCTGACATATATTGATTAATCAATAAGTTAACTAAGCGAGTTGGCTGCGATATTTCGCCAGCCAGAAATCGTTGCATTCAACCTGTCATGCTGACTCCTATTGGCTCTAGAATATTCAGATAATGTTCGAGGTAGAGGAGATGCAAAATACAGAGTTGTGGGAATAGAATGTCAACAAAACGACTACCCTAATCAAGGACGTTCCCATCACTGGAAAAGAGCTATTGTGGGAGTCATTTAACACATGCTGCTACGGCTTTCTCAGTGAGTGGCGACGATACTCTCTATGCACAATGCCGCAGTTGAAGTGAATGGCTCATTCTAGCTGAATCTGATTCCCGCGAGTCGACAAGCACACCGAGGTTGATTACTCGAAGGGAAGAACGCAGCTTCGAGAGGTGGAACAGACCTAGAGCTCATACTTGTGCCAACTCTGTGTCGAGTCACCTTCGCACACTACCAGCGAACTCACGTGGCACCTCGAATACAACCTCCGCAGTTTCATGAGTTCACAACACAACCACCCGCCAATGCACCGCAGATGCCACACAAATACAACAACACCCAACGTCGGAGACTGTTCTGACCTATCCACAAGCTACCACTCGCCCGGGGCACGTGGAAGTGTAGAAGCATGCCGACACTTTGACATATCCCCTACGGCTTCCAGCTGAATACGCAAAAGTCACTCGACGTAACAAAGTAATTTCCTGATATTTATTTGTTCTCTTCTCAATAGTGAGCGAAATAAAGCCGTCTAGTGTAGGCACGAGTATAGTTGTAGTGGTAGTAGTATTAGTAGTAGTAATAATAATAATAGCAGTAGTACGAATCTAACTTCTTTCGTGGTCACTTGGGGTGGGCGGAGGGAGCAGACGGAGGGGTAAGTTGCCAAACAGCTGCCACAGGCTCCGTAGAACCCCCGCTGACCCATCCCAGATCTAAGAAAGACTCGGGCTTGAGCGCCGCCAACGCCGTCTCAACTGAATGGCACTAAAAAACTTCGCGCTGTCTCGGCTCTGCAGACAGCCGGTTAAAAGCAAAATGCGCACGCACACGCACAGAGGTTCGTCTACAAAGTGAGCGCGGGCGGTCGACAGAGCAGGAGGGAAAGCAAACGAGGGCAGGGCTGTTTACATAAAAGAAGGAAAAACGAAAAGGCGGATGATTGACAGCGGGGAGTCGGTGGAGTGGGCTCGTGGGGGGAGGGGGGGCGATTTGTCGACCGTGGGTCAAGCCGATCGCCCGTCTATTCGCTGGTAGAAGAGAACGTAGGCCTCCGACGACACCGCTTCCCTCGTCTGAATCGGTCGCACCCTACAAAAATCCCAAGTTATCACACCATGGGGATACCCCGTTGTCGTTGCTTTTACTGTTTGACCCACCTGGTATCGTTGTACTCGAACCACGAGTTGAGCTTCGGATGAAGGCAACACGCCGTATAGTGGCCACCAAACACGCTGCCGCTGTGATTGGACACACCGTAGAGGCGATAGTGCGCGTTTGTCTCGGAGGCTACAGCGAGGAAGGGGAAGACGGTGAGCAAAGTGCGCCTGGTGTTAGTGAGCGTTCAAACAAGTGGAAAATGTCAAATCGAGTCATTTGGCCTCTTCACCTGACACACATCGTCGCTCCAAACGACACGATTGGTCGCCACACACACACACACACTCAAATCGACCGCGCACCATTTGATTGGCTAATTCCCATTTTGATGTGATTGTCCCTTGTCTGTGGCTCTGCACTATAAACATGGGGATTGCGCGTTCGCGCGTAACGACTCAAGACTTAAAGTTAAACAAAACCAACTCAACTTACAGCAATGTGAAGCGTATTCAGTGAGGTCGAGGCGTTCGATGGGGTAGTTTATGAAGGTGGTGAGTTTGGAACGCGATCGCTCGCCGGAGAAGCGTTTGAGGTCTACGCATCAGGCAAGAGTTAAGGCACGAGTTCGTGTCGCATTCAACAAGACGTGGCAGCAGCGGCTCCAGGCGAAATTGCTTGGCATAATAAGTAGTAAACAACAACAACAAACCAAATGTCTGAAAAGGATACGTATTACCAGGACGGTGGGGAAACGCTGGATTGAGAACCGCTTGCGGCAGGGCTGGCGCCGTTTGCATCCGCTGCATGTCTAGTGGAACAAATACGCGTTAGGTGAGGCAGCAATAGAATAGGGTGTGAGGAGGGGGATTCAGCACAGAAAAACGGCAACACCAACAACGCAAGGTCATGCATTTGTGAAGATTGCTTGGAGTACGAAAATCACACGACTCGCTGTCTGAGACGACGACGACGACGACAACGATTTTACGACGTGAGGAAACGGGGGGATTGAAAGCACCGTGGGAATTTGGGGTATGGGTTGTCGACCTCACAAGATGCTAGCCAATCACACCAGACACGGAGGAGTACGATGGTGTAGAAGACCGGGCGTGGACGCGTTTAGCATGTCCCCACCTCGCTTGGAGTTCACGAGCTACAGCGTACTGTGGTGTCCCGATGAGGACACGTGAGCACAGGCAATTTAGTGTCCGCCACCACCAACACTCGCAGCTGGTGGTACACGCCGCAAGGAGCCTAATTTTGCATCATTTTTTGGGGGGGGAGGGGGTAGCAGCCACGGGAGGGAGGTGACACAGGCAGCGACGTGTTTGGCGCTTCCGTTGGTGTCCTTTTGCGGATGACCGGGGGAGAACACCGCCGTGCGCACGCCTGCCCATCCGTTTCCGGCTTCGTGCATCACGTGTCACCAAGGTGATTGGATAAGTACACACACACACACACACGCTGGCACGTGTGCCAAAACACGCAAGAGGCAACCACAAGAAGCAGCAAACAGCACGCATCCACACACACACACACATCGTCAAAAAACAACACACACACAAACACGGTTAAGAAGCAACCGACGCTGCGACGTTAGAGGGTCTCGTGATGAAAGCCACTAGAGTTGTCGGGGGTTGGCGACGTTCGGGAAGTGGTGTAAACCGAAAACGCGACCCTAGTCGGGCCGAATTACAGATAGGGGCATTTGAATAGGGTGCTCCAATGCACACCACACAGTAATCGCAAATCAGGGCTCAAAACCAATCAGAATGAAGGGGCTGCAAGGTCAAGCATTTTCCGGCCAATGGGGAAGCTCCAAATCACCAACGCAACGCACTCGTGTGAGGTATTTCGGTTTTGGGATTAGCGCACCAGACACCGGAGATGCGGGTGAGAATACAATCGTTAGGAAAGCAGGTCGAGGTGGTACAACGGGTGCAAGGCGTTAAAAAGGTCGTACTGGTGCCTGGTGAAATGCAAACTCACGGGCAAGGCACTACTAGCCGGACGATGTACCTGGAGACAATTAGACGCGAAAAATACGGGCATATAGCATAAGCGTGGCCTAAAACCAACTCCAACTCCAAACCATGCACACTGCAGGCAGTGGTTGCACAGGAGACAAGGAAGGTCAGCTTACTGGCTGTTCTGCGCCGTCGAGCACCTCGTTTGAGGTGAAGAGGTCGAAGCAATTGAGGATGTTCACGTCGGTGCCCTAAAAAAGAATGCAAAGACACGTGAATAATGCTTGTTTCGTGTGCCAACTTGGCAGTAAAGGGATTCTTACACAGCGATGACCCGCCTAGCACAACCGATCGACGTCTTCACGGGCACCAAGCAACAGCAAATGAAGCTAGATTAGGAAAACGATCCAGGGGAAAGCGCAAAGGCGTCATGCTCAAACAGGACAACACAAGGCTCCGCCTTCAATAATGACGATGTGATGACGTGAAAGACGTGTGCGTGCGTGCGTGCGTGTGTGTATGGCAAAACAGCCATCTACGCTACGTAGACCCGAGGGGTCAGACGGGACAATCTCTCAGCGGTGAATCAAACCCCGTTTGACGCAACTGCAAGAAAAATCTGCCAGACGATGATTCGAACTAGCTTGGAATCACGCGTCGCTCATTGTGCTAATCACGTAGTCACCAACGCCTAGCCCACGATCTGCAATCACGTGAGACAGTCAACGGGCCATAAGAAAGCACAGAAACATTGTCAAGCAGGAAAACCAACTACACTACACAGGTGAGAGCGATCTTGTGCTATGACAACCAGCGTTGGGGAGGACGTTAGTAAAAGCCGCGCCCCCAGTTGGTGACAAACCAACACGAGCCAATCAACGGTGTCGTTGTGAGTTGGCGGTTTTTTTAAACCAGCAAGTGTACCACAAAGCCATGCCACCCTAGCATGAAGTCAACGCAAGCAGGACAAAAAACCTATGTGCGACGAGAGGCACACTTGAACACTTGAGAAGTGACGTCGGCTATCCCAATTTAAACGCGTGCTTGTGTGAAGTGGCACGAGGGTTTTGGGTACGCATTTGCGTAGCATGAGGCGAAAATGACACGCCACACGCCACACACACACTGCGATTTCAGTTTGCTAATAATTTACACAATCCTCAAAAATACACGCCAATGTAGTGATGACTCCGGCGAAAATGCCGGGAATTGTGTGGATGTAGGGGAGGCTCCAAACGCAAAAGGTGGAAAGCCAATTGTGGCTTCCTTAATGGGCTTCAAGGCAACTGGTATGACATCGTCTCGTCGTAGAGGTCAAAACGACTGCGGCGAAAGGGCAGGAAAGGCGTGTGAGAATTCAGCGTGAAGAGCCACACACACACACACAACACGGAATGTCAAACATTGTGGTATTTGGCACAGCTAATTGGCGTAGAACACGATGACTGAACAGTGCGTGGCAGGTACGCAGCAAAATGCTCCCCTAATGCGAGTTTTCTGCTGATGTGATGCCCTGCGAAGACTCGGCGTCACGTAGAGGACAAAGCGACGAGTCGGTGAAGTTCACCAACATGACAATACGTGGAAAAATGTGCCAGCAAAGATGTTGCAGAGTAGACGATTTCCAGGCTACTTCCCATCAGTAAGACTCCACTACAATTTGAGGTTACTCAGACTCTACAGCGACAGATTGCCAGGGTTAGAAGTGTCGAAGCATGTTGGAAGATCTTCGGCGATTGACTGGTTCCATTACTACTGCCAGGAAGTCTGCTATGAAATGCTACCTTCTGCTAGA